GTGAAGGAGCAGCCGTTTCGCAGGTGTTCGGCACTTTTCCTCCATGTGCTGTGCTCCAGTCTGCTTTCCCGTGTTTTAAATCCAGTTCTGCTCTTGTCACACAGCAGCAAAACGCATTGCTGGTGTCAGAAACACGACACTGCCATCCTACGTGGGTGTCCTTTAGAGCCCAGTGGAGGCTTCACGCTGCAAAGTATTTGTTCTTTATTCCTCCTCTTCCTACAGCAACTTCTGATGGTTATAAAAATTCTCTTTGTATCTAAAGCAAATTGCTAATGTCTGGCTTTTCCTAAGAAAACTTCATGAGTTGCCTGCGCTGCTGTTAACTCTCTTAATGCCGACTTGTTTCAAAAGTGATCTTGGTATTTAGTAAAACAATTTGCATCAAAGGTAAGAAGGAACTGAAACCACTAAAAAAAAATCTCAACACGAATCTGGAAATTGCAGGCTCTGATCTCATGGATTTCACACAGGCTTGATTTAATAGATCTGCTGCTTTGCAAAATCAACATAATTTGATTGATTAATGCCTTTAAGCTAAAAGAGGGGAGATTTAGATTGGTTATTGGGAAGAAATTCTTCACTGAGAGAGTGGTGAGGCACTGTAAGAGGTTTCCCAGAGAAGTTACTGCTGCCCTATCCTGGAATTGTTCAAGGCCAGGTTGGACGGGGTTTGGAGCAACCTGGTCTAGTGGAAACTGTCCCTTCCCATGGCAAGGGGTTAGAACTGGATGATCTTTAAGGTCCCTTCAAACCCAAATAATTCTATAACAAAAACTAAAAAAATTTAAAAATCCCCATTTTCTGAGAAGCCAATCCTCCAGGTTCCTTGCTAGGGCTGGAAAACAAGACAAGAAATACATTTTGCAATTTTTTTTTTTTGTTTGTTTTGTTTTGTTTTGTTTTTTTGGGTTTTTTTTTGTTTGTTTGTTGTTTTTTTTTTAAATTTCATCCTGAAAAATAGAAAATCCAAAAGCCCTTAGAAACTTCCCCAAGATCTACATGAAAATAAGAAGGGTCCTGTAGCCCAAAGCAGCTCCTAGCACAGTGATGGGAACACAACTATATAAGTCAGGCAGTTCTGCTAAAAATCTAGATCTGAAAATTTTCATAGTGGGGATTATGACCTTGAATTTCCTTCTAATGGGAATTTTGACCTCAAATTATAACCAGGAATTTCCTTAACTAACCTGTCATGTTTCCACAGAGATTTGTCATTTCAGCAAACTGCTCCTTCTAACCAAAACCATCTTGCTGAAATTTTTTAGACAGATTCATTCTGTACATATGATTACTCAGAAGTCAAATTATTATAGGATACGTTTTAGCAAATTCTTATTTAAAAAAAAGTATGTTCTATAAGTCAGACTGCCCCAGCTTCATGTAAAACATGATTATAAACTGATTTTATTAAGCTAATTCAAAGGTCTGACAGAACTGCAGTTCAAACTAGCTCAATTTTGCTCTGGTTTAATATGGTTAGGATCCTGCCATGTTTAAATAAAAATCATAGCACTGAAACAGGATAATGAAATTAGTGCTGACCTGGATGAAGATAAGGCTGATCCAATCAAGGCTAAGGGTCATTCATGTCCCTTTTGAAGCTCCTTCCAGGATTAAGGCACGTATGCATTAGGAAGGACATTACTCTTTATTTGGTACAAATTTTAAGATCTAACTAATATAATAATAACCAAATGCAAATCAATATGATTTAAATGGAAAGACATCTATGTTACCATTAAGAAAATCTCTTTTATATGCTTTTTATTAATCTCTAAATGAGATCCTGCGTTTCCAGTAAAATCTTTCCTCCTCCAGCTAATTCTACTGGGAAGGATAGGTTGAAATATCAATGCTGGGTTTATCCTATAAATGACTCTCTTTGAAGAGAAATTTTCAGATCTGCTTCTAATTCATCTGACGTACCCAGAAATTTTCCATTGATTTCAACAAGCTCTGGATCAAGCCTTTAATGCCCTGCAGGTTGCCTTACAATGTAAGATGGACTGCAGGTGTTTTCATCCTCAAGTCTTCTAACAAAAGTCATCATGAATTTCCCAAACAAATGTGTTGGAAAAGAGTCACAGAAATAATAACATAAATGTTGATAGCATAAAAAAAAAAAAAGCACAGGATGTATTTGTTATCCTTATTTATTTAATAAAGAAACATAATAAACTTGAATTTTTCCAGGTACAAACAGCTTAATATGTCCTATGATATTGGCTGATATTTTCCTTGCTCTTTTTGTAGCTTGAGTGATTCATGTGGTTGCCTTTATTGAACAAATCAACAGAAAAGAATGGTAGCACTCACCATGCTTATAGACAGTGTGGGCCAACTATTGAGTTAGTGTCTTAAACTAAATCACTGCACTGGGAGGTTGTATCATGGCTGGATTTGGATTGGCATCTCCATTAATAAGGATCTACAAGTGAGGTTATATGACATTTTCTAGGGGAGTTCCGCAACCATACAAAGATACCATTTCCTCTTCATCTCTAAAGAAATGCGCCACAAAACAATAGAAAACCCAATAGAAAACCAACCTTCCAGTTACAAAGGTTTTGAAAGTAATTTACAATTCAGTTTTAGAAAGTTGCACTGTAAACATCTAGAGTTAAGACCCATCTTTCAGACTTTTTTTGCATTACATTTTTTTTTTCTTTTTTTTTACAGGTTTTGGGTAAAAGACAGAACCATTTCTAATTGCATCAGTACTATAGGGTCTCACAGCAATGACACTAAAATGTTCAACTCAAGAGTGAAATGACCAGAGGAAGAGCACTTCTCTAATATAATCAATGACCAGCTAATTGTCTCTTTACATCCCGTTCATTACTGGGCCTGACTCTTAATAAGAACAGCAGTTGAATATTTTCTAATATAAGTCGAAAATAACAAAAATATTTTTAAAACAGCATGACCAACAACACACTTCTGAGTGCAGGCTGGCATTTTCCTTGGGTTTCAAACAGTTTACATTGTAAGTGAAAATAAATCACATGAGAAATTCTCCTTTTTCTTAGCATTTTTCCCTCTTTTTTTTTTTTTTATTTTAAAGCTTTGAAAGGAAAATAATTTTACTAGTTGTCAGCCAATAAATGCTTGTTCAGCAAGTAATGAATGTACTATTTTCTAATTAAACAGTTTCATTATAGGCAGCAGCTTGTTGCTAATGATCAATAAATCCCATTGAGGAGAAAACATTTTAATCAGTAAGTCGTGTCCTCTGAGTGTCAGCCACTCTATAAACTCACAAGATACATATATATGTATAGATATACGTATGTGTGTATATATATATATGCATATAAATATAAAAATCGCATACTCTTTCTGGGTGATATGTACAGTCAGAATAACATTACAGCATAAATACACAGGGAATTTGTATAAAGTTTCTCTAATTTGAGAAGCCTTGAGCAATTCTGGTTTTTTCAGGGGAGGTTAGGGGTGGGAGGGGGGAAAGAATAAAGAGAGTTTTCACTTCAAGGAACAAAGAGTAGTCCCCTTAAGTTAGAATCTAATTACATACAAGATTTAAAGGCAACAAAATGCCCAGAGGAACAGCCCTATGTTATACACCATAGACATGGGGTTAAAAGGGCAAGAGAGCATGATTATAATAATACTTATATAGTACGGTTCATTCCCTTATAGCACTTTGCAACCAGAAAGTCTTACAACACCCCTGTGAGGTAGGTAAGTATTATTATTCCCATTTTACAGATGGGTAAACTGAGGCACAGATAGGTTAAATTATTTGCCTAAAAATCATGTAGTAAGAATCAGGAATAGACCCCAGGAATCCTGATGGCAAATCCTCTGAATTAACCAATAGACCACTCTCAAGTGAATGCCTGAGACACCTCTCAATGAATGGAGAGAATATTATTAGCCCATATTTACACAGATACATTGTCATCCTTTTGACATGTTGTCTTACATATTCTGACTTGTTTAGAGGACAGATAACAATGGCCATAGATAAACTTGACTGTAACATGTTGTTTTAATTCTTGTTGCCAACCCCATGTGGTTTTTGACTCCTATACAACCTGGGATGTAACTAAATGTTCATGACAATACACCTTAAATACATTCTTGATATCTTTGCTTCTCCAAGGTGAAAAGCACAGTTACTCTTCCTTAAAGTGCAATGGCTCATTACAGAAATCTCAAGATTTTCCATGAAGTCCAACCAAACCCAAGTACAATCAGTCTGAAAGTGAAAAAGAAAGAACTTGTCTGTAGTGATGGACTTGTCTCTATATTCCATAAATAATTTCTCACATTCTATCGAGGCTGAAATATTAATAATAAATAATAATCTATGTTAGCACGTAAAACCTCTAATACTTTTCTACAGCCACACATCCACCCTTCACCCCATTGTCATTTCTTTGGCCTGAAGCTGAGGGACACATCAACTGTAAATATTACTTTGCCTACAGGAATGAGGATATATCTATTATCTAGTAGATTCTTTTTATTGGTTCCTGTATTTCTTGTCCTTCCCCAGAAATCTAACTGTACCATCTGAGAAAATGAAAGATGGACACCGAGTAAACAGGATTCAAAACCTCAAAATTTATGTACAGATCCAGAGGCAATTCCCCTCCCACCTTCTTGATCACACTGTCACAACCGTTCTGTACGGCCCAGTTGGCATTGATTGATTATTATTATTATTCGTAGTAGTATTTTTGTGAGCAATATTGATGCACAGAGATCCCAATAAGGCTGCTTAGCTCAGTGTTCCTGGGGAAAACATATCCTATCCCACTACCTTAACAGAAACTTTGCCAGCATAGATGGTGCTTTGGAGCACTACACACAAACGTGATGCGCTACTTCTATGGCGAGTTTGATTGCGGATTTCGAAGCAGAATCTTGAAACATACTAAAAAATTAGTGCTTTTATTAACAGTTTTACAAACAGGATCCATTACTGTCTAGTTTCCTGAAGGATAGAACAAGCCATTTCTCTCATTGTTTTGACATCATTTGCTGTTCTGGTGGTTTTTTTGTGTGTTTCTGCTGACGTGCAGCTGCAAGTCCCAAGAGGGAGGGCTTAGTGTAATAAACAGTTTAAATGTTGCTAATTTGATACTTTTATTTGCAACAACTTTCCTCTTCAAGCGATGGGGATCCCACAAGTTCCTATTACCTTAACTCAGAGTTCATCATGAAGAGTGTAAGGATCAATAATCTCCATGGAAAAAGAGACTTTTTTTTTTAAGTAAAAAAATATCAAATATAATAAATTTATGAAAGACCATTCACAACATATACAGTAAGTGTTACATTTTGCTACAGCAGCTGTGATATTTTTTTTTTCTTTTTAGAATGCAAGGTCATACATCGCCATAAGTAAACACACTAATATGAGTAAGACCTTAAATGAATTTATACAGCCAGGCTTTATCTGTGGATAGATATACACTGTGTTTACTGTTTTACAGTCTAGCCTATTCTTATTCACACCATTGATATAACAGCTATGACCCTGCAAAGATTCTTCCTGTGCATATATAAATATAAATATTGAACCAAGTCAAAAAGAGCAGGGTCAAAGGTTATATGACTTATTAGACTCCTGTAGTTAAGGGTAAAAACTCCATTGTTTCTTTTGCAACTAATTTTTAACAAGAAGGCTGCTTCAACCGTTGTGTAGTTACAGCATTACATTCTGTAAACAATATTTTAAAGCATTCTAAACAAACATTTAAACAATTGATTCCTTATCCTTGTCCGGCGAGAGAAGACAATCCATAGCCTCGTCGCTTTTGCTCACGTCCGTTATCTTCAGCGGGAGATTATCGCTCGTGCCCCTGGTGACGCTGTCGTAGGACGGAGGGAAGGAGGTGGAGGACAGACTTTGGGATTTGTCTATTGGCCTGCCGTAGTTCTCGTTCATCATGAACGCAATAAGACCCTCCTTCTCGGGTGCATCGTCCTCGAGGATGCTGCTCTCCAAAGTTCTGTGCCGGTACAAGTAAGATGCCTGCTTCATGGAGCGCCGGAACAAATGTCTCCTGTAGGCCCTCTGGATGACGATGGCAGAGACCTCTTCTTGTTTCCGCCTGAGAGTTGTTGTAATCGGTTCGTAAGAGATCTTAGACGGATTCGCCGCCATGAACTTTTCTTCCATCTGTATTTTAAGGGCATCCATCTCTCCGGATTCTCCTAGCACCCTTTTCGTAAAAGCAAACAAAATATCCAAGCAATGGATCCTGTCTCCGCTGACCATGGGCAGGTCCATCGCTATGAGTTTGATTTTGTTTGGTTTCGCTATGCGCAAAGGTTCTGATAGCGCGTCTGCAAAGTCTGAAAGTGCAGAATACTCAATAAACTGAGTGGCTTCAGGGTCAAACTTCTCCCAGATTTCATAGAACATATCAAAATCATCCTCGCTTAGAGGCTCTGTACTTTCCTCAGTGGCTACACTGAAGTTCTCTAAAATAATGGCTATATACATGTTTACAACAATGAGAAATGATATAATGATATATGTAACAAAGAATAAAATCCCTACAGCAGGGCTTCCACAGTTTCCCTTTGAACCATTTGCATTAGGAAGGTTTGGGTCACAATATGGTGGTCCAGTGTTTAAAATAGGGTTGAGAAGACTATCCCATCCAGCTGACGTTGTGATTTGGAAGAGACAGAGCATGCTGTTAGCGAAGGTTTGGAAGTTGAACATGTCATCAATCCCATGCTCCTTCTTAACATAGGCAAAGTTAGCCATGCCAAAAATGGCATAAATGAACATGACCAGAAAAAGCAAGAGGCCAATGTTGAACAGAGCAGGTAGGGACATCATTAAGGCAAACAGGAGAGTTCGAATTCCTTTGGCTCCCCGGATGAGTCTGAGGATCCGGCCAATCCGAGCCAAACGAATGACTCTGAAGAGTGTGGGAGAGAAGAAATATTTCTGGATGATGTCAGAAAGTACAGTGCCTTGAAAAGAAAAGAGACAAACAGCAAGTTAGTACATGGAAAATAATCCCAGGCTTCCCTTTAAAGCCATCAGTAAGGATTATTGAGAAAATAAATGAAAAGTTCCCCAGACTGGAAGGCCTACAATAAAGGGAATGGCATTGTTGGTGCTTTCATGCCCATTTAATCCATACAGACTGTGTTGACATTATGAGAAAAGAGTGGTAGTTTCAGTAAGGAAAAGTTTTCCTGTTGGGGATGATAAACCAGGACCAACTCAGATAGGACACAAATAACTGCTGCTTTTGGCCATGACCCACCTGAGAAATTTATCCTGAGTGCAGATGGTCAGAATTTTTCTGACATGACCACATTTTTGTCTGTAAAATATTAGAGAGTCAGCACTGAAGTGCTGATGTGCTGGGCCTGTTTTTCTGAGCCATCACTGGAACAGTGCAGCTTTCTACTGTGCAGCCTCTTGGCTGATTGGATGCTTATAAATTTTTCCAGTTTCCCTGATGGGCTGGGAGGGGATTAAGGTCTAAGACTGTACTAGCAACAACATGAGCTTGCATCCCTGTAACTAAACTCTTCCAGCAGAAACAGAGCCCTTGGTGCAGACTGTCTGATGCCAACAGTCCCTGGCTGCACTGAGATGTGCTGAGCTCATGTGTCCCACCTGGGAGAGGGTTCCCTGGCATGGACCAAGGCCTCTGACACTGAAATGACATGGTTGATCACAGGCAGCACTATGACCAACGTGACATCTCTGGTTAATTGACTGCTATGGGCATACCCAGGGCACCTAGCATCAAGGTTCTGATGACAGCTGCATGGTAGTAATGTTCCCTGGGTGACCCAAATCTGTGAAATCCAGGTCGTTCAAGGCCCCCAAAGCACAGGCTGCTCTCTGGGCACTGGAGATCTGCATTGGCACCTTGCAGGTTCCCTGGTCCATTAGAGAGTGTTTAGTGCAAAAAGAGCATCAGTCAACGAGAGGTCTCTGTTTTCCTAACATGACACTTTTTCATTTAACTCTTCCCCCCTTCAAAATGGAAGTTTTCTTTTGGAAGAGCTGAATTTCTGAGCTCCTTTTGCTCGCTGGATCAGTTGACCATCTTCCAGTTGCTACTTTATTTCCAACTGTAATGAAAACAATTTTGGTAGGATTTCAAACTCACACTTGAACTGCACTTCTGTAGCATTTAATGTATGATCTGGGGTTGGGGCTGCAGAACAGCAAAAAGCACAAACTAACAATAAAATTGTGCCTTCCTGTTTCATCCCTTGGATATATGAGGGTGCGGAGCTCTAGTGACAACGGGGCTGAGAACAGCCAGACTCACTGCACTGCTTGAACCTGCCCTGAAGGACTATTTCATAATGTTGTAACAAAAAATAAATAGCAAAACAAAAACAATCCACACATACCCTTTTTCATGTGGCTTTTTTACTTCCCTGTCTTTGGCTGTCACACAGAACTGGTGTTAAGTGTATGTGGTGGGCCAGTTCTGGACCGTGTTTTACCACCATAACGGTGTTCAGGTATGATAATAAAGGTATGATAATAAAGGTATGATAAACCTCATAATTTTGCTGATCACACCAGTTATTGTTTGGCAGTGCTATGTTAAATTAAAATTACATACTAAAAAAAGTGTGTTTAAGATTCAATTCTCTGAGCCGATAGCATACATTACTGCACAAAGCCTTTAACTTCGTCAATAAGTTTTATGTCTCCCTTTTTAACTTTGGAGTTTTGGGTGTGAAAATCCAGGGTCACCTACCTACGATGGACAGAATCACAACCACGAAGTCAAATATGTTCCAGCCATTGGTGAAGTAGTAGTGTCGCAGAGCCAGCATTTTGAAGATGCACTCTCCAGTGAAGATGGCAACAAAAAGCATGTTGATTTTATGGAGGATGTTGACTTTTTCTTGACTTTGGTCATCCGTTTCCACCATCATGGTAACCATGTTAAGGCAGATGAGAATCATGATGGAGACATCAAAGGCTTGTTTTGAGACGACATCAAAAATAAAACCTTGGTATTTGTTCTGGGGGAAAGGAGAGGGTTTAGTTAGGAAAATTGAGTTGTGCCAAAATGACAACATAGTTGTCTCCTAATTGATCAGAAAGTAGAGGAAAACAGTCAATATGCACTGTTTCTGATGAGAACTTCATAAACTTAAAGATGGTGATGAATGGTTTTATGATAGAGTTTTCAAACCAATTTACTCCTAATGCTTCTTGAAACTACTGAAAACAAGACACTGGACTGTGGCCATGAATTTATTCAATGCAGGCAGGTGGTCACTGGAATAAGTAAATGGTATATGTAAATTGGAATTTTAGTAAATGCTGCAGAACAGTGGGAATTTTGTACCACAGGTCAATGAACTTGCAAATATCATCCAAAATCAAAACATATAATTACAAAGTGCCTTTCATCTGGGAGCAATAAACCTTCCTATACTAAGTTGAATTGTATTTATTCTACTAAAAAAACATTCAGCTATTACACAAAGTTCAACTGAATTATGCTGTTCTTACCAGTGGCCTTGGGATTGGCTTTTGAGGTTTCTTAGATCCCAGCTTTTTCATTGCATTATAGTACTTTTTCTGTTCTTCTGTCATAAAAATGTCCTGGCCACCTAAGTATAGGGTGAGAACAACATGATTACTTTTGACAAAGAGAACTCCACTGACCCACTCTAAAGTTCAAGGCTGCATACTCTCCCATTTCATTTTCCTTTTAATGTAGTTTCCTTCAAAATATCTAAGAAGGTAAGCTGGTTTTGTCTGGGATAGAGCTAATTTTCTGCACAGTAACCAGGATGGGGCTATGCTTGATTGGTGCCTAAAACAGTGTTGATAACACAGGGGTGTTTTTATTGCTGAGCAGGGCTCACACAGTTTCTCAAGGCCTTTTCTGCTTCTCTCTCACCACCCTACTCATGAATAGGCTGGGGGTGCACAAGGAACTGGGAGCTGACACAGCTGGGACAGCTGAGCCCAACAGACCAAAGGGATATTCCATACTGTGTGGCACCATGCTCAGTATACAAAGCTGGGGGAAGAAGATGGGCAAAGGGGGCATTCGGAATGATGGCCTTTGTCTTCCCATCCATTCTGTGTGATGGAGCCCTGCTTTCCCTGGGGATAGCTGAACACCTGCCTACCCATGGGAACTGGTGGATTGTTTTGCTTTGCTTGTGCATGGCTTTTGCTTTCCCTAACAAACAATCTTTATCTCAACTCCAGGGTTTCATCACTTTTCCAGTTCTCTCCCCCACACCGTCATGGGAGCAGCAAGTGGGTAGGTGAGAGGTTTGGTTGCTGGCTGGGGTTAAACAACAATCTGATGGGTTTGTTGAGATGCAGTGCTGGGAGCTGCTCATCACATGGATGTGTGGGGCAGGAGACAGAGAGCAGTGTAGGTAATGATGGAGGAGCAGGACTCAGGTTCTGACAGCGGTCAAGGTAGGTCCAGGGTGAGCGGGGGAAATAGAAGAACCCCACTCCTGTGTTTAGAGCCTACCAAGCAGTGAGAAATACAACTCCCAAGCTAGGTTGCTCCTCCCTGGCCCTTGCCAGGTACCTTGGGGCAGGTTATTGGTTGAGGAGAGCAGGATGGACTTCTTGGAGGGACGATGGTATTTGTGCACAGGGGACACCATGACGGTCTGTGCCTCTGCGTCAAAGTTTGTGCCAGAGATCCCCTCTGCCTGAAGCTGCCCTACTGCTTTCTGTGGGGGAATATAATCTCCCAGCCTATATTTTCAGGATGCTCATGCTATGGGGACATCAGGGACTGCTACAGCTGTGCCTTTGTAAAAATCCTGTAAGGTGTTTTTTGCAGTTTCTCTGCCACTGCTAATCTTGAGGTTACTGTGGCAAAGCCATTGCTGATAAATCTATTCCTTGACCTGGTCTCTGCAGCAATCACAAGATTATATGTAGCATATGCAGTACTTATCTTTTTCTTTTGTTGGTTAAAATTGTCAATGATGACACCAATGAAGAGGTTCAATGTGAAGAAAGACCCAAAGATGATGAAAATCACAAAGTACAGGTACATGTATAAATTATATTCCCATTCAGGCTGTTCCTCGTACTGCAAAGGGAGAAGGGAAAATGTGAAAATTACACCATCTCTGCACACATCAAAATACTGATGCAGTTAAATGAGAACTGTCCAATAGCAATAAAAATTATAAAATGTGAAAAAAATGGTGTCACTCCCATGAACAGAGTCAGCTCTCCTCGGTCTCTGAAGTTTACTATTGGCATCTGCACTGCCATGGTCATTTCAGCAATGTTTCACAAGACTGTCACAGTGATCACACTGCTCCAGAAAGTGCAAGGCCAGAATAAATCCTCTAAAATGTTCTCAGTCTGAACCCAGAAGGGGAAAAGGATCAATTTTCTGATTATTGTAAAACTTATATGGTCTAATGGAACTTACAAAAAACAGAACTGTGATCCAGTACAATTAAATGCTACTGAAAAAACCTGTATTTATAAGTACGATTTTTTTTTAAATGAAGGGTGGAATTGAATAAGATCTTTTGCTGAATAACTGAGCAACGCAGGCCAATAACCTCAAGTCACCTCTGCATTTGACAACAGTGCTCAGATTTGCCCCGTCAGCAACAGGTATGCAAACAAGGTGCCAGGAACTTGCATCCCTGAAATGCCGTATTTTCTCAAGGGTAACCCATGAGTTTCATTCAGCATTAGGGAGGATACACATGTGTACATGTAGTACCAGAATAAAAAAACATCATGAGCTATGTTCTGCAAAGGTACTTTTCTGCTTCTATGATGCCACGAGGTGTTCCCACCCCTTATTCCTCCATTTAAGGCTTGACCCCCTATTACTGAATTCAGCCTTGTCAAATTCCCAGTACCAGACAGCTCTCTCAAAAATTAACAGCAAGCATAAACTTGTTCCTTTAATATCATTAATAGAGGAAAAGGAGTCAATAAGTCCTTCAAAAAAAAAACAAACAAAGCATATGTGATGTAGCAAAGGAAATGCATTTTTCTTAAGGAAACCTGGCAGCTGTAGAGGATGCAGGTAAGACCTGGGCAGTCACCAGCACCCAGAGCTCCAGAACATCTCAAGCCAGAGTTTAAAGCTCACATCAGCCTCTTGCCTTACCAGAAGTCCCTCCATGCTCCTTCAGTGTAGAGCTGCATTTGTTTTAATCTCAAGGTTGTGATGCTTCAGTAGCAGCTGCAAAAAGTGAAGGTCTGCAACTGTCCCAATCAGAATTATACTGGGACTGGCAACCTATATGCAATTTTTTTGTTGTGTTTATTGTTAAGCATCTTGAGTGCCGCAAAAGTCCATGGAAAAGGAAATGATTAATTTCCATGCAGGGACTTACCTCTCGTGAATCCACTGCTGCATACATAATATCCATCCAGCCTTTAAATGTGGCCTGAAAAAAACCCACATTATATATAAGCAAATTAAATAAGTACATCTTGAAATTATAACATCATCTCTGTGCTGAACTTTCAAAATGCAATGTTGAGCATGTTCTTCACAATTAATGGACTGTCTGCCTTTTAAAGCAATACATATCCATGAGTTTATGTTCATTTTGATATTTAAAATCATTCCAGAATGTTTTTCTCCTGGATTTTCCCATTTGTGTTTCCTGATTTTCTGTACTTGTAGGGATAAGACAGAGGGCTTTAAAAGAGAATTTAAGAAGGAGAGAAAACATGGCAATTAAATCTTTGTAAGTTTTTACCTTAAGAATTTCAAGTAATGAAGAGATAACAGCTGCACATAAAACAAAGAGTGTTGTCCTGCACAAGTCTTGGTCCAGGTGAGATGGATCCCATGCATATTGCTTGCTCATACTGACAACTATGTTGTAGGATCCCACTGAAGCTTGGACTCTGCCCTCTTTTAAACCAGGACAAGTCAAGACAGTGGTAAAGCCGAGGGAGTTGCACGAATCACAGCTGATTTGAAAGGAGCAAAGGCAATCAACACTTGCTGTGAGCCCGGCCCTGGAAACTCCATCTGCTTTACTGGTCAGACTTTATTTTTCTTAAATTAGGGGGTTTAATTTTTCTTTAAAATTGTTTAAACAAGGAAGGATTCCACAGAAGTCAGTGTCTCTTACTGGAATCTTCAATGGAGAAAGAGCAGGGACAGAAATCTCAGGAGAAACGCATGGAAGTGATTTTTACTATTCTGTAGCAAAACCATGACTCTTAGATCTCAATATAGGCCTCTTATTAGACATAGCCTGATGCCAAACACACTTGGCATTAGGTCTGACTCTGGCCTAAGTCCCATTACCTTCATATTAGTTCTCTAGGGTTGTTTCTCATTTGACTTCTGACCCATTTAGACTCACCCTGAATCTAACTCAGTGTGAGCAGATAACAAGGTATTTTTCATTTAATCAGATTTACACTAGCATGCAGGAAAGACCCACACCCCATATTTTTTTACATCCTACTGACACATAGGTTGAATTTTCTCTTGTTGTGTGGGCACGCAATTCCAGATAAGGCTAATAGGAATTTGGCCAGAGGTTCCCAGGAGAAACCCAGGCAGTTGTGCTGAGGCACATCCAGTGATTTTAGAAATGCTCCACTATACACTCTCTCTTATTATATTAAGTCCTGGAGGTAATGATGTCTTCCCAGTTTCTTCTGAATGTTACTGAGCCAAAGGAAAATGTTGTACAAGAGGTCAATCATATTTCTCATGAGAGTATATATAAAACAATATTTGAAAGGCTGCACATTTTTATCTACTGGTTGAAAGAGATTAATGCACTCTCCCAAACGAGAATCCTTTGGAAAATCTCTTCCATGGTACCATGTGTTAAAAACCACTTTAGATGAAAAGTATTTACAGGAACGATCAGCAGTTTTATTAAAACAAATAATTATTTGAACCTGTCATGCTTATATCCCTTACGGGTTCTAATATTCTCCTTTTTTGCCATTCTCTTTCTAATCTGACGAAAGGTTTTCTGGTGTCATTACAGTCACTTACAGCTTTCAGCTCCAAGTGCTGTTCAGGAAGGGTGGACGGGATGAAACAAGAAATCTTTTCCCTGTGGCACAAAATGATATGATCTCAGCCTGTACTTTTCTCCCACTTGGGAGGAAATCTTTTCTCCTGAGTAGCTATTTTACCCCTCAATGTGTACCACAGACACGGGAGACTCTACTGCAAGGCACAGTGGTTTGTAGTGATAACAGATGATGAAGTGATCTGACAAAAATAAATATTAAGGGAATGAAGTGCTGTGATTTTCTATATTCCCCAGTTGTCCAACAGTAAGAGAATTAAAAATCCACAGGGTTTCTGGAAAGCTTCCCTAGACACTTCATCTGCAGAGGGTAAAAGATACTGAGAATGAAAGAAATATAACACTGAGAAAATAAATTATTTATCTGGAATTAGTAACCACTTACACTCTGGATAAGGAAGTGACAAAATCTTCATGGGAGTGTTTGTGATATTATCCTGCCTGGAAGCTATCCAGAGAAACACCATTTTCTACTGAAACTGTCATGTGATGAGATTATCTACCGATAAACTCGTCTTGGGATGGGATTACATTTTGTTATTTGACTGGTGGTTAGAGCTGCAATGCAGTAAATTAGTAGAGAGGAGGATAGGTGGGATAGCACTGGCTGCCCTCAAACCAAACGGTGCCTTAAAATAAAGCAAGTCCTTAAATCTGTAAACTTTTGGGGGTTTGGTCTTATTTTCTTTTCCTTTTCCTTTTCCTTTTCCTTTTCCTTTTCCTTTTCCTTTTCCTTTTCCTTTTCCTTTTCCTTTTCCTTTTTCTTTTTCTTTTTCCTTTTCCTTTTCTCTTTCTCTTTCTCTTCCTTTTCCTTTTCCTTTTCCTTTTCCTTTTCCTTTTCCTTTTCCTTTTCCTTTTCCTTTTCCTTTTCCTTTTCCTTTTCCTTTTCCTTTTCCTTTTTCTTTTTCTTTTTCTTTTTCTTTTTCTTTTTCTTTTTCTTTTTCTTTTTCTTTTTCTTTTTCTTTTTCTTTTTCTTTTTCTTTTCCTTTTCCTTTTCCTTTTCCTTTTCCTTTTCCTTTTCCTTTTCCTTTTCCTTTTCCTTTTCCTTTTCCTTTTCCTTTTCCTTTTCCTTTTCCTCTTCCTCTTTCTCTTTCTCTTTCTCTTTCTCTTTCTCTTTCTCTTTCTCTTTCTCTTTCTCTTTCTCTTTCTCTTTCTCTTTCTCTTTCTCTTTCTCTTTTTCTCTTTCTCTTTCTTTTTCCCTTTCTTTTTCCCTTTCTTTTTCCTTCTCCTCCTTCTTCTTTGTACATTTTGCATCCACTGCGAAAGTAAAATCAAGCATTGCAGTTTACAGAAGTGCAAGACATTGAGTAACTCAGTAACTTTAGACACACGTTGCTGTCTCATGACCATTTTGTACCTGATTTATGAGCACAGTCATGACTTCCAACCTGGCAGGAGGGGTTGCTTTAACTCTACAGCTCCTGCTTGCTGTGCTAGTCTGTGAGTGCTTCTCTTATCTTTCCATTCCTTATCTGGAGTCCCAATGTGACAAAGATTTGTAGGACATATTCGATGGAAGTCCATTCTACCTAAGGAGAACTTTTCCAGGAAAGCCCGATGCTACATGAAAGTCCACTTGTTTCCTTGGTGTTCTTCAATAGATGGCTGACATTTCAAAATCCATTGTAAAAAAATATGTGGAGGTGATCACAGAGTAGAAGGGAAGGATTCTGCAAGGGAAATGTAAAACTCCTACTGGAAATTTAAGACATTTCTTTGTTCAGCTCAAATATAGATTTATAAAACATAGATGCTGTGATCCTCTAAGCAAATCTGGGAATACAGAAAAGCTACTACTGAAGCACTGGGTTGCAGCAATAACTTTTTCCTGATAGATTAGTGTTTTAAGAGCGTTAAATCTCCAGAAAAGTGAATCATCCTTCTTGCAAGTTAAAAGCTTGTGATAACAAAGATCTTTTCTTCCCCATGAATGAGGCATTTTTCTTGCTTGCAGAGTGAGTGGAGGCTACCTCTTATTTAGCAACCTGTTGTGAGAGCCTGGTTGTTAGCTGGAGAAGCTTGAAACTTGACTTCACATGACTGTTTTCTCAGACTCATTAATTCAAAGTGGCATGTTAAGAAAAACATGATGGACCCCAAACAAGGTAAGAAAAGAGCAGAAGACATTTGGGACAAATTTCATGCGCTTTTCAACTACATTGTCAGAAACTATGCCTCTGGATAGCAATATCTCTTAAAGTTTCCATAATAGCAACTTCTCATTTTTTTTTCGAGTACACTGCAGAAGCGGAGACAGAACATTAGGCAGACAGGTTTGTTTTACGTGTTTCCAGTTGGATTTTCAGTCACATTCAGGCATCCAAAGGAAGATCAGAGTCACTTAGAGCGTGTTGCAGCGGCTGAAAATGTCAACAGTCAAAAGACAAGTCCCACTTAAAAGCTCGTATTTTGGATCCCGTAACCAAAACGCTTATCTCCTCACTGCTACGCTCTGCCCCAGTGTGCAAAGAGACACGCAGATGTGTCTGTCTCTTCAGGAGAGCTGAGCTGTTAGCTGATCCCCTGCATTTCCCACGGTGGTTTGCTCATGAAATGTGACCCCATATGAAGGACATTTGGCAAGGAGCACCTGTAACTGACAGTCCTTGGCGGGAGTCTGGCAAAGGAGATCCAGATGTTTGGGCCCCTCTTCTGCGGGTGTCACCTTTACACTTTATTGCCTAAGACTGTCATTAGCAGCAAACATAAGAGCTCCAGATGCAGGATTAAAGTTTAAATCAATCCCCTAGTGGCATCTGGCTCCTGCCCTTCCTCCTGGAAGAGGGAATTGGCACCTGTCATAGAAGCTGAGTGAGATTTAGGACTCCCTTGATTCCTGCTATGATCAGTTTGTCCAACCTACCAGGTCCTATTCTTATGACATTCCTTTTGTACTTCTGGAAAATCCACTTCTGTCCTACCCAATGCAGGTTTGGAAGAAACCTGCAGGGTCATCAAGTCCATTTTCAGCTAGAAAAGAGCAGTACTAGACTGTCCCTTCAAATGTGTGCTGAGATCCACCTTATATCCAGTTATGTTTCTTCTGCCATCACTGATCCCAACAGAAGTGACTAGAGAAGATTGCTTCAGGATACTCCCTTAGGCAGTGTCAGTTTATGAAAAGTTAAAGATTTTCAGAAAGCTGGAGCTTGAGTCTTACAAAAGAAATGGTGAAGGAATAACTACTACTATGATGGAGTTTTTTCACAAAAAACCCATATTCATCTGTTATGCTGTCATAGAGGAATTGAGAAGCTTCAGGTAAGAAAAATATTTTAAACCTGGAAATTCCTGCTCATCTAGATTGGATGTTTAAACAAAAGACAAAGAAAACACCATATAGAACAGAAAATCTAATTAAAGATGTTCAAAGTGAATTAATCTACCCTGCAAGGCTGGGCTGAATATCATAATTACATGCAAAAGATAAAAGCTCTTGCTCTCAGCAAGTTTATCTTTATGTCATGGAAAGAACCAAAAGTGGTTGTGCCCATTCTGACGTTTCTGCTTTCCAGAGGGTATGAAAGCAAAGGCTCGATGGATAGTGGTCAGATGATCTCAAACTCAAGTGTTTGTGTACCAGGAATAGCACATATAAGGACAAGCATTAATACAAGAAAGGGAAACTGCTTCATGGAGCTGTTTCCTGTGTCTGTGTCAGAGAAAACAAGATCTGGGAAAAGCAAATTTGCTTCATGGCAAGGAGGAGGGCTGGCAGATCCAACAGGGACCTGTCTGTGTGTGGCTCATGCCCTTTTGGAAGGGCAGGAGGGGGCCCAGGGCAATACCCTGCCACACTGGAAAGGATGGATTCTGCATGTGACAACTGAATTGAGCTCCCAGCAAGCAATTTTTTATCCCAGTATTGAGGAATGCCATCACAGGTGTTTCGAGAAAGTAACCTTCCTGTCCAGGGATGTAGCGAGGAGCTTGTTTAACTCTGCATACAAAAAATGCAACACAGCAAACACTCCCAGTGCATATCCAGCCCTTGTCATCATTTGTCTTGAGAGCAAATTAGGAACAATGGAAATAAGCATCATAACCACTATTTTACATGAGGGCCTCACAGAATTGAAACAGAAAGCAATTTGTCTAAAATCACTCAGCAGTCCAGCAGCAGAGCCTGGACAAGAAGATGGCTCTATCCATTAGGTTGTGCTGTGTTACAACTCAGTGAATCTCAGTGCATACCACTCATTTATCCATGTTTTACATTTGCTGCCTGAAAAAGGCTGTATAAGGTGTCTACTTCTGCCTTTACAGACCAAATATTGCCACTGTCTTTGAACCTCAACAGTCTCTTCTCTGATATGTTCTTGCCACCTTTCCAGAGGGACCAAGCTGGGTGGAGTGTCAGAGTTCTGACCACTACCACCACCAGGTTCCATACTGGTGGAGGTACAGTCTGACTCATTATATTTAGCTGCTGGAAATGAAGTGAGAAACCAGAATGAGAGGCACCAGTTTCCTTCTTAAACACGGAAAATGAGCAGAGGTCTGTAAAATAGGATTAGGACTATGGCTTTATGCAGTAACTTCAGCTGAGAAACTGAAGGTACGACTTCATTTTTTTTCCCAGCAGGACATAGTGAAATTTCAGGCTGTTCAGGAAGGCCACTGCACTCCATCTGCATGAGCAGTCCTTCCTGGACCAGGACTTTTTTTCTGGAGCTGAACTTTGCTCTGCATTACAATATTGTCAAAATGGTCTTTAATTCACCTCAATAGTCCAATCGCCTCCCAGAGCACTATATTAGTGATGCAGCTGAAACTCAAATTAAAACCATTTGACTAATTTACCTGTCTGGAAAGGCACTCTCCTGATGGGTAAGGATGAAAAACCCATAGAGGTTAAGCTGAGCCTTTAAACTGATGCTTTCAATGAGAACAAGCAACATTTGCCTATTAGCTTCTGGTGGTCACACTTACCACTTGTAGCAGTGCCAGGTACCCAGCACCAACATTATCGAAGTTAACTTTAACTTTTGTCCAGTAAAATGTCCCTGACACGTTATAGAGTATGCAGTCACTCATGTTGTTAATAATTTTAGAGTCTAAAGGCATGTCTCCTTCCGTCTTATTAATGCACTTCCCAAACTTCCCAGCAAACAGGTTCACTCCCATGATGCTGAAGATGAGCCAGAAGATGAGGCAGACGAGCAGAACATTCATGATGGAAGGGATGGCTCCCACGAGGGCATTGACCACCACCTTGGGGGAAACAGGAAAGGGAAAACAGAATTAATGTCAGCACTTGTATAGACACTCTGTTAACAAGCTGTTGTGTTTCACACATGACTATTTTTTAGCTTCTGTAATAGAAGAACTAATCTGTTGGCATCCCACCCATGGGATGATGTTTGTTCAAGAGGGATCTCTGAATTCAGGAGTAATCTGTGAAGTCATCTTGACCTCTCAGATCCTTCTGGATAATACACTTCAGTCAAACTATCATAATCGAAGAATTAATTGGAAAGGACGGGGTGTATCACAGTGACTCAAAATAGAGAAAAAATACTTCTGAAATCTTCTACTCAGGCCTCTGTAGCCAGCGAGTTGTGAACTCTAGCTGTGACAAATTTTGCTTAATTAAATAATAACTGATTGAGACATACGGTAAGCCAGCTTCCCCTGTCTGATCAGTCTGCATGATTAGAACAGTGAAATCATTCTAATGTAACAAAAAAATTCATTATTTTTTTCCTGTGTCATGTTGTAATGTTCTGACACACTAATCCAGACAGGGCTGTAAAACCCCTGTGTAAAATCATGCATAAAAATGAAAAGCAAAAGGAGCCTTTAAGGTGTGGGAGCGATGGCACTGGGAATGGACACAATTCCGAAGCCAAGCAAAAGAAACAAAGGTCAGACCATCTACAGACCCTCTACAGCTGTCAGGATTAAATACAGCACTATAATGCCACTACATCAACACGGTAAGAGTCACATCATTTACTGTTTTGAGCATTAAGACATCTATGCATGTCACACCTTACATTAAAGAATCAGAGAATCATAGAGTATCCTGAGTTGGAATGGTCCCATAAGGATCATCAAGTTCAACTCCTGGCCCTGCACAGGACAACCCTGAGAGTCACACCATGGGAGACATTTTCTGAGGGAAGAACACTGCCACAAACACTACCACTATCCTCTTCTATGCCAACAAGGTTTCTCCATGTTCACAGCCTCCAGAGATGCTGCCATTGCTGCCTCACAGCATTGCTGCTGACACCAGCCCCTCAACATGAATTTGTCTCCATCTCTGTTTCACATTTTGGAGATTAAAACCTGGTAGGGCAGCCACTCAGCCCTTCCTCTTCTCCATCTACGTTTCTGAAACTGAGACAAAAGGATATTGATCCATAAAAATTAAATTTTATTCAGTTGTGAATCTGATTACGGAAAATGTCAGCTCTTCTTTTCTCTTGTGTTAGTGTCCAATTTTCTGACAAGCTAATAGTGTAACATTCACTTCTCCATCATTTTTGCATTCCTGCAGAAGAAAAATACCCGGAGGAGTAAAATGGGTTTCATGCATGTGTGGCAGCAGCTTCATCTGCACTATACAATACAACATTATGTAGATCTTCCAAAACTCGGATTTATATTTTGTGCATTTATGAATGAAGCTAATTTTCACACAGGAAAAGCTGTTTGACCAATTGTTTTGTTTTGTTTTTCTGTATGGGCTGATTCCTGATGACTTTTCTGGATTTTTTTTTTTTTTGTTTGCTAATTTTATCTTTCAGTTTTGGATGTCAATCAATTTCTAACTTCATCATTTTTAGACAAAATTTACTGTGTTAACCAAAATGCCAAATAATTTCCAAATCAAGGGCCTTGGCTCTTGTCAAAGTAGCTTTCATTTGCTTCTCTGCACAGCAATATTTTTGTTCAATTTTAATCCATGCTAGCACAAAATTACTGCCCTACTGTTACATGTGCTGCTGAATCCACTCCCCACACAAGCCCTGTGACAGCACACAGGCATCCAGGTTTTAGCAGTACAAGCGATGGCCATGCCCACATTCTGCTTTTTTCCTTCTGCTGAATTATGTTCAATGGCTTGTAGATAACAAAACATGACATGAGGCTGGAGCAAATCCTGTAACACCTCTGGTAATGAATTATTAACGGGAGAGAATCATTCTTCTCTCACTGCTTCTGCTCTTACACCAGTGTGATGCCATTTGGTCTGCTGGAAGCACTCCTTGCTTTTCACTGAGCAGAGTGAGAGGACTTAAAGACCTGGATACATAAAGGCAAGTTATTACCACAAATTCACGTTAAAAGTTTAGCTGCAAACCTTGCCATGGAAAGGGATGAATTTCTCCTTCACCTAGGAATAGCAACATATGTAACCATGTATAAGAGAAGGTTTCATACCCTGGTTTCCATCAATACCTTTATAGGTGAAACAACCTTCCAGGTGACTTCTTTAGGGACAGCCTAGAAACTGAGCCACCCTCTGCCCTAACCCACAGGCTACCTCCTCAGCCAAAGCTGATTCAGATTTTAAATTCAGAAATAGACTTGCATGATGTGTTAATCCTCCCTTTGCTACAACAGAGCCCATCAGACTTTCCACAGGAATTTCGGGCCCAGACTGTAGCTCCTAGTGAAGCTTAGGCACAGCCTTTAAGAAGACATACAATTTACAGAGTCATGATGCCAAATAATGGAGAAAAAAACTTATTATTAGAGAATCTATTCCTGTACTCAGTGTTAGAAGCAGGTGCTGTATGTTTAGGTAGAATTTGTTGAATTGGAGGCACTAATCGTCTGCTGTTAGGTGTCTTCTATCGTTCCCATCTTCACTGTGGGTGAGTTACCACTACACGTTGCTCTGGATAATTAAAAAATCAGAGTTTCTTTGTGGCTGTCATGGGTCCTTCAGATTTCTAATCATGCTCATAGAGCTCCCTGCAGAGACTTTCCCCTTTTTTGACACCCCCTTTCCAGCAGTTTTGTGGAATTCCAGTACTGAAGCACTGTCCTCTCCCTCTGCTTGCTGGGTTATTTCCCTGTGTATTGGGGGATTCTAACAGTCACCTCTTTTATTGGACCTGCCCAAAAGCTTTTGTACTGTTGAACAATCATCCTGATCCCCAGGTCCTTCTCAGCTGCTGTTTTCCAAGAAACATCCCCCAGAGTGACCTACATTCCTCCTCCAGAGGTAGACGATGTATGTGGTTTTATTAAAATGCATGTTGTACAATAGATCTGTTTTCCACTGTGATCCAGATCAGCCAGTATAATACCCTTATCTGTAATATCAGTTACACTCATTTTGAGTGTTGTCAGCAAAGATTTTTATATTTTCTTCCAGATGCTGTTAAAGTCCAGCTGAAGGACAGTTCTCATTCTGACTGATCCCTCACTCTGAGACATTCATCACCGAATTTACAGTGTCATCACTGGTTACAATTATTTTTCAAGATACATCAACCATTTAAAAAAAAATTGCTTGTCTTAGTACAAAGCTCATATTTTCATCACAGTGTCCCATGGTATCAGATTCGTCTCTGAAATCTAAGGATTCTATAACAGCACAGTTACCATCATCAGCATAATTTGTAATCAAATCAAAGGACCATATCAGTTTTACAAGAACTATTCCCATGAAATCAAGCTAACTAGCATTAATTATGCTGTTTCTTTCCTGCATGTATCTTGTAGCAGTCTCACCATGACTTTGCCTAGTATCATTTTCACATTGAATGGTCCATCATCATCCCCCTTACCCTTTTAAAATACTGCAATAACCTCCCTTGCTGGGAAGTAGTTTGCAGGGAAGTGCCACCTCTGAAATAATTTCCTGATGGGCAACAAATGAGGAGACATGGGAGACTTCATGACTTGGGACAGGCAGATCTAAGCTACTTTATTCTGGGCTCATGCATGGAAAGCCTCAGTGTCCACAGCAACTTTCAGGTGGGATCCTGGTCTCTCTGGGGTCTCTCCTCTTTTTTTGGGCACAGAGGGGCAGGATGGCACCAGCTCATCCTTATTTTGAAGACCTCTCATGGCATGGGAGCTGCAGAGACTTGTGTAAAACTTGCACAGGTCTCAGTCTGTTTGAAGACAGGGAGAGAACTGAAGCCTGATGGCAACAGATCCTCTTGGCCACCCAAGTGCTACTCTGTGCCTTTGCCTCAGGACCAATTGTTTCTAAAATTTAGACACAGCACCAGTGAAATAAGTCTCTTACTGCAGTATAAATGAGAACTTTCTAGCTCCTGTTCTAGCTACACAGAGATCTTTCAGTTAGTCAAGAAAAAGACATTATAATGGAGCCAACTATCATTATTTTCTTACTGTCAGTGTTTGCTTCTCAACATTATCATTATTTAATCCATCACTGAGCTGGCAATTTTCCTGTGCATTTTGGAGCATATGAACTCCTAATAATGAAAGGTCTAACTGTCCCTAGTCTTGTTAAGTGTGGTTAGACAAACTAAAACTAAAATGATTTGCTTTTCCAATAGCACGTATTCTCAATTACATTTTATCATAGTTTACAAGCTAATTCACTGCCTCTGATAGCTCAGAATGACTGAATATATTTCAGCTGCAGCAATGGTACAGGAAAGAAAAGGGGATGTAGAGTCAGGGACCAGGGGGACCTGCAAGAATGAGCATATTGGGAAGGAAACCTGCTGGGCTGGTGCATGTGTCATGTAAGATATCCACCAAGGCAGCCTCTTGCTATTCTCAGGTAGAAATGAGAACTTTTTCATATAATTTTTTTTTCCTATTTTACTCTCACTTTTCTGAGCCTTTGGGTTCATCTTCTCATTGGTTTTCAGGTTTGAATCCAATTTAGTTAAACCAATGCAAAGCCATGGGTGTACAATCCTATGTCAGCTTAGAACACATTGAAGGGGTTTTGCTTGGACTTGTAAATCCACCAGTAGAAGCTAAGCCTTCATAAGCCAGATCTAAATTGATTTGAGAGAGCCTGAGCACAAATCACTCTGGTAGTTAAAATACTCCTTTTGCTAATACTGGATTGTGCTCCATTTGTGAATGCTTAATAAAGACTTGGAGTGGGGTCATCAGACGACACAGGAGTGAGAGCTTCATTTAATGTCAGTAGTGCAACATCACTTTGTGTCTTCTGAGGATCTGTGGTTTGCTTTCGTTTTATTTGGTCAATTACCTTTAAAATATTGCCTGTCTTTGCTGAAAAGATTGTGGTGAACAAAACAATTCAGGTTTGGATGCCCGGATGAACAGAGCCTTTTGAACCTATTTGTCTTAGTACTAACACAGAGGAGGGTGTTCTGACACGACACTTGTCTCATCTTCCTCCACAAAAATAATGTGATTTAGCTCATCACAAGATAGTTGGAACAAAGCCTTATGTCTCCAATCATCCACAGAAGAGGAAGATTATGGGTTTGGGGTTTTCATAAGTTGCTGTATCACCACATTTCCTGGCTCATCTTGGTAGTTAGGCTCTCTAGACTTCAGTCTGTCTTCCTCTGAGGGTATTGCAATGTCAACAGGGAATTGCTGGGAGATCAGTGCATGAATTACACATATACATCACAATGATTAGGACCAAAATTTTGTTTATAGAAGAGCTTTACCCTGAATATATCTCATCGTGAAATATGTAGCATGTTCCTTGGCCTAGTGGAGAGGTTTGGGATCATCAAAGTAATCTGTTTTAAGTGTAAATTTGTCAAAGATTTGCTTTACCTTGCTATGCAATCTGCAAGATTAGCAGTAACCTCGACTCATACAGAACACAGCTGTCATCATCTGCAAGTCATGCATGGTGTGAGGAATTAAATGAAATGTTTATCTAGATAATAATTGATTTGCGTAGCAGGTAGGCTTAACCAATAAACAGGTATGCTGTAGGGATATAGCCACAGTGGCAAAGGAATGCAGAAGGGAATGAGATGGAGCACCAAACACAAGCTACATGGTTTTAATGTTAATCCTGACATTCCACATTGAAACTGCAATCTGTTCAAAGGAGAAAAAAAAAATTCATTCATTTGCTTTCCCTATCTTTAGCATTTCTAATTTTTGCTTTAATTATTAGTGAAAAAGTCCTTAAGAACTTTCCAGTCAGTCTCATTTTAGTACATGTCAAAAGCAGGGAGCAAACTTGTAGCTTGGTTATTCCCCTGATACACCTTATAATTGAGAGGTAATTGTTAGCCAGATGCTTCCTCAGCCAAAAAGCTGTTTTTTAAAGTGCAGTACGATGAGTTAGGCAGCATGATTAGTTTATCACTAAATCCACCTGAGGATAAAGATATAATGATACAATTGCAATCAAGACCAAGGAGGGATTTCTGATTTTGTTGTTTTGATAAAGCATTATCATTCATTTCCTTTGGCTGACAAAATGAAGACAAAACCACGTGCAATGGTTCCGTGTTACATGCTTGATGTTAAGCTCTGACCAAATGCTTCGTATACTCTTACCCTCATCCCTTCAAATCGTGACAAAGCTCTTAGTGGTCGCAGAGCTCGGAGAGTCCTGAGGGATTTAATGGGACCCATCTCAGAGTATCCAAGTGTGTTGGCGACGAGGCTTATTAAAGAGACCTGGATGGAAACACAAAGCAAAAATCCAATCTGTTAGTGCATTCCTGCCATTTTCCTTCTCTTCCGACTTTCCTTCCTGAAACAAAACAGGTGGTGAGTGGAACAGTGGAAAAAAAAAGTCTTAAATATTCAGGTGCTGGAGCAGATCCAGAGAAGAGCAACGAGGCTGGTGAAGGGACTCGAGCACAAGTGCTGTGAGGAGAGGCTGAGGGAGCTGGAGTTGTTCAGCCTGGAGAGGAGGAGGCCCAGGGGAGACCTCATCACTCTCTATAACTCCCTGACAGGAGGCTGTAGCCAGGTGGGGGTTGGTCTCTTCTCCCAGGAACCAGCAGTAGGACAAGAGGGCAGATCTTAAGCTCTGCCAGGGAGGTTTAGCTTGGACAATAGGAAGAGATTTTTTACAGAGGGAGCAATCAGACATTGGAATGGGCTGCCCAGGGAGGGAGTGGATCTGCCATCCTTGGAGGTTTTTAAGATGAGACTGGATGTGGCATCAGTGCCATGGTCTGGTAACCACAGCAGTGTAGGATCAAGGGTTGGACTTGATGATCTCAGAAGTTTTTTCCAAGCCAGTTGATTCTATGATTCTAAATGAATGCCATTACACTGGACCCACACAGAAAAAAGGATCATCTTCCACAAAGTGGATGAGAAAGGAGATCACCATTACAGCCCCACCCCTCTGTGCCACCTGTGCCACAGGTTTCCTTTGCACTCCTCCAGGTGTATCTTCCACTATCCAAAATAGGATTCATGTAAGTGTTATAATTTAGGGCTTTTTGGATGAAAGCAACTCTAAGATCTAACCCCTTCCAGCTGAGATAAAGGATTTTAGCATTAACACTCAATCACTAGTCTTCAACTTAATGATTAGAAACAAGTCTTCAAGATTGCTGAAAGACATGACTTTATGCCATAGATCTTAAAAAAAGAACAGTGTGCATGGCTCTTTGGTTTTGCACTTTTTTTTACTTTTTCTAGTTTCTAAATGGTCTCTAAGGGAGATGGAACATCAATGTTGGGGTTCATACCTTTCAAAGACTATTTCTTTGAAATAAACTTTCTCTTTCCAGATCTGGAGGAAGCATGGATTGGTTCCAATGCCCTTCATGTTCTAAGAGCTTTTGCAGTGCCCAACTGGTCAGAAATGTGGATGCTATCAGGCACAGGACTGGGATCTGAATGAACTGAATGGCAGTGGAAATTATGAACACATGGAGCAATTGGGTTTTGTGTGCTCGAATCAGTGTTCACAGTCTGAATTCCTACTGAGCAAGGAGTGAAAACAAACAGCTCTTCAACACCATAGGTATCATGTCAATTTGCATGTTTAAAAAAAAAAAACAACCAAGAAACAAGAAAACTCAACCAGCATTAACTTCCACATACTATAAAATACTATTTTCTTAGAAGGAGAGACCTATTTATATTGCTTATCACAGTTCCCTTACTTCCATTTTACTTTATTTTTTTTCTCACTTAACATTTTCACAGCCCCAGTTCTCATAGTATCAGATTACCTTACACTCACCAATGTGAGTGTGCAGAGCTCATCTTGAGGAGGGTGTGCTACTGCCATTTTAATGACAGCAGCTAGGCCTAAGATCGAGGATTCTTCTACATTATAAAAATTAGATGTTTAGTGTAAAAGGAAACTCTAAGGTCCCCCATGAAGACAGACAGTTCTGGAGGGAAACCTCCCTTTTCATTTTAGGATGAGGTGATTTTTCATCTGAACCCCACTGCTGGCTGACCAGCCCAGCATCACCCAGGGGCTTTGGGATAAAGCAGGATAAGACCAGTTTGATCCCATAAGTCACAAACCAGTCTCCTCTATGGAGCAGCTTTTCTCCAGATTTTGCATCCATTTACCTACAGGCGCTTTCTGCACAGCTAAGAACCTTTGTAAAACTTGCTGAATTTGTTAAATTATTTACCTATTGATGGCTTTATTGTGGCATGTGGGTGACAGCAAGCCTAAGGGCAGGAGGTCTCAGAGACACCACGTCTGCAGAAGTGGCACAGAGGCTGGCTGTCATGCTGTGACATGTCACCCTCTAACAAGGTGTGACACAAACTCACCTCCCGTGTACAGACCCAGTGGCTGGTGCAGAAGGAAGGTCTTAATAAACACTTCTGCATTTTACTGGTGAGAGTCCTATAAGAACATCACAATAAACAGGTAGACTGAGTTCAGGGACTCTTAGGCTCCTTAGACACAGGGGAGGTAAAAATCACCGGCAAAGCCTTTGCTTCCATCTCTAAGAAAGCAGCTGTAAACCTGTGACATGAGCACACCTAAAAAGTCATTTTAGAGTAAGCAGTGCTGTATGTTTGACATGTTCCTTTCACCTAAGTCCTGCTCACTCAATACTCACAGTTAAAGATGAAAACCTGGGTTCAACTTAAAAACCATCTTAAACTCCCCAGTGCTCCCAGACTGAGGCACCACCCATTTTCTGTCTTCCCCATTTCTTACCAGCTTTGATTTCATCCTGTGCTCTGAAGCTGCATTAACATAGAGTTCAAAGCCTTTTCTTTTCATTTTTCCTCCCCATTAACTTAATGTTGCCTAAATAATGAGGAAGGGCTGAGGATTTGTCTGACAGCAGTAAACAAATGCACGACGTACTTATATACTAAACCCATTCAATTAAGTAATTTAAAACTGTGGCATTATGGAGATATCATGATAGGAAGAACACTGTGGCACATATTTCTGTCTCTGGTGGAAAGTTCAGTGTAGAAAACAGCCTTAACCTCACAAAGCCTTCAAGTTTCCTATCCAGAAAGGCTGGAGGTATAAGAAAAACAGTTCAATGATAGTGTACTCAGATATAGAAATTAAGATCCATACACTCACGTACCAAGGGAAGTTCATTCATCTGTATAATTGATTTGTAAAGTGAATGTATATATTTAAAAGAAAATTAATCTAATACAGAGTACCCAACACCCTTCTTTGCTAGTTTCACACACAATGACTGAAAGTCAGATCTTCTCAAGGTCTTCAAACTACCTTGATTGCTACAGGATTCCTCCCTCCTCCTGGATTTATGTCCCATAACTTCCCTTTTTCTCAAGGTAGAAGGTGTCTGGTTCAAATCCTGCAAAACCAGACTTTGGATCTGAGTGGGTTACTGTTTCATTTCCAGAGCTGTAAATGTCACCCTGAAACACATCACAGGTGCTGCTGTCCTCCTGACACAGATTTACACAGCATTAGATATCTCTTCAGAGGATTAGGTCACGAAACTGTGTGATATTTGGCAATGATTTACAAGGCTGGAGTTTGAGACAACTTGTTTAAATGCTTGGATGTTGGTTTTGAAGGTATCCCTGTCAAATTTTATTTAGAGGAGAATTTCTAACGCAAGGAGTTGGCCATTTAGACTTGATTAAAAGTGACCCGGAAGGCTATTTTTAGGGACAAAATCAAGCAGTTTTCAAAATTGGTGCTGACTGCCCCACATAAACACAGCAAAAGGTGAAGTCAGCTGTTTCTGTGACTTTTTTTCTCTGTTACGAGGCTGTGCAGCCCAGAACTGCTCCAAGGTTCTGCTTTGTGCTCTACTTAGTATGAGAAATGTGCTGGCACCCAGAAAACACCTCTAGGGTCAATGTAACCTCCAGATTCATAATAAGGCAAACACACATTTTTAATCCTTTCAGTACCTGTTTGCAAATAGTTTTGCAGGTTTTTCATAAAAACCTGCCCCTGAAGGCCAGGCAGTAATGTAACACAGTGGAGAGCACATGAATCCTAAGATTAGGAATTGATAACTGTTGAAATTATTGCTGATATAACTATATATATATATAATACAATGCTAATGAGATTGTCTGAATGTCTTGTCCGTGAATCAGAACATTTTTTCACTAATTTCCACCTTCTTGTGGTAGTTTCACTTATTTAGGGAAATAAATCATTCTTGAGATAAGAAATATGACTTGTGTATGTGTACCCAGGTGGCACCCATGTGATGTTAGACTCCCAGTGTGCTCATGTTGGTGCTCACAGTCATTCACTAGTTACAGATACGCAGCATTTTCTGACTATTTAAATTATTCACCATGAACATACAGAGATAAATTTCTAAAATAAGTTTATATGTCTTCTTTATCTGATGGTGACTTAAGTAATCACTGTTGTAAACTGATGTAAACCCAGTAAAGCCATCAGAAGAGAATTTTAAGGCAACAGAAAAACAATTGTTAAGTAGGAAGGGTGATAATGCAGCACACCCAGGGGAAAAGGCCTTTAATCAGAGGATCACAGACTTTTTTCCCAGGGACTGATTGCATTTATAACAGTAGTGGGTTCCTTCCCACATGCATACATTTTATATTAGTGGCATCCCTACACTCTCTAACCATGGGAGGTTACAGGGAGTCAAGGGCACAGACTTTGGGAGCAGTGTTTCACCTGAGGCTGATGGAGTTTCCTATAGCAAGAAGGTGGGTTTCAGGTGGAATAAAGGCTGCTCCTTCCTTTTTTGCATTCCTTTTCACCAGCCTAAAAGCACATCATTTCAGATAACCCATGAGCATCCACTGGATCCAGCTGGAAGCAGACCTGAGACACTATTCCAAGGCAGATGCTACGCAGCACAGATGGCATTTTTGAATTAACCCCTGGCCAGGGGTTAATTAACCCCTGAGATGAATTAACAGCAGAGCCCAGAAAACAAGGACTTCTGCCTGAGGAACAGCAAAAATCCTATAAATACCAAATAAATACATATAAATACCAAAACCAATGAGAACCTCTACTAATCGTCTGCCTGCTGCAGAACACATCTGTGAGTGATGCCCTGTGAGCGTCTGTCTCGGGGGGAAGAGGAGACCTCCTTCCTGGTATGGGCAACAGCATATGCTTTATGCAGCCAGGAATTTCATCAAATTAACCTGCTTGTTCAAATTAGAGGGGAGGGATCAGAGAAAAAAGAAAAGGACGTCTGAATTGAAGAACAGCAGCTGAGTTGAAAGCTTTGGCCACT